GGTGTTATTTCGAACTTATCAAAATAGCAGCCCGTCGTCGTTCGATTGAGGTCGAACTCTCCTTTTATTGTGGCGAAGGACCTTAGCCTCAAAGGGTGTTATTTCGAACTTATCGAAATAGCAGCCCGTCGTCATTCCGGCTCCCGAGGAGCTAGGCATTGTTCATGGGAGTCCCAGTCCATTTTGTATTGCTTGCGCCAGATGATGCAAAGCTGGTGAATACGAGGTGTTAATGCTTTGTTTCCAGGTGCGTGTAGTGTATGCCTTATCATTTTCTTGTTTGGCTTCTGTCGTCCGCCTTAGAGAGGTTGCCGGCAGGGGGCATTTCGGTTGTGTCAAATTTATTTTTGCCGGGGCATTTCGGTTGTGTCGAAGTTATTTTTGCCCTTCAATTGAGACTTTCTTGTGTGCATTTGTCTGCGCAAGGCTTATGTGCTTGCATGGACAGAGTGGGAGGTGAGGATGGGACATTCTTTGTTCCCGTCTGGTGGTCCGTTGGGAGAATACAGGTCGGTGACATCGCTTGTTTTGTTTAGTATATCGATAGCTGATGGGGCGAAGATTTCTGAGTCCGGCTATCTTGTTTGGCTCTTCTTCCTTCCCTATGCTGCTCTCGTGTTTCGTGCGGGTTGGGTTTTCCCTTCGCGCTCTTTTTGAGGAATGATCGTATTTTTTGTTTCGATCTGGGAAAGACTAGGAAAATCTTCACTAAGAAATCCCCACAGACGGCGCCAAATTGTTTGACTCAAAAGATACAAGAATCTCTTTGAACAAATCAATCAAAAGAAGAAGGGGTAAATCTTAGCCAGATGAAATCATTTCCGGATCGAAATATTTAAACAAAATCGATAAGGCTATCAGACGAAAAATGCATGATGAATCTTCTTATTATTCAATATAGTTTTCCTCATCGATTGATGAGAAAACAGGTTTACAGATATTCTTTTCTTCTTCCTTTTTTCTATTTTTCCTGGAGATATCCGGAGAGAGATTCCCCTTGTTGAGGACTCTTCTTGACTATATATAGTTGAAGTCATTTTACTTATTGCTTGACTAGACGCTTTTTCGTTGCTGACGCATCCTAGTCGTGGTCATAGGCGCCGCCTTTCCCGATTGGTCGGGTTTCTTTGGAGGAGAAATGGAGTGGGCTCTGTCGATCTTTGCCGCTTGGTTATCGGAGCGAGGTGCCAGGCCGTTTGGTCGTGACGGTCAGATTTTGACCAATACAGTTATCATCCCGAATTAGAACCTAGGTGGCAGAAACAAAAAAACCAGAATTACTTGTTTATTTGTGTTTACTTTTAATTAAAATTATTTCTTATTTGATAATAATCAGTCCAAAAGCTTAATCTCTATGAAAAAAGGACGATAACTTTCCTATGTACCAACAAGAAGAAGAAGAAGGCGAACAAAGTAATAAGAAATTAACAACATCAAATCCTTAACTAACTTTTCTTTGTTGAAACAATTAGTAAGATTGACAGTTGCGGACGCACGTGGTGGCAAGTGAGTTCAACTGAACCTGTTTTATCAAAAAATAATACTGTGTATATGTATAAATTACAATTAAAGCTGCGTAAATTTTCTATAATTATTTTATTTGAATTCACTTGACAACTACTATTTTACGACTAAAGTTATGTACTTTTAAGATTAAAACTGCTTGCACAAAATCCTGAATCCGCCACTGAAGATTGATACGCAACAATGAGACAATGAACTGTTTGCATTGAAACATGGATAAACTGTGAGTTAACTACTACATCAAAATATTGATAATTTGAAAGTTCTACCGGTTATTTTACAACACATATCCACTTTAGATATTCAGTCTAATAATTGTTTTGATATTTTTCGCTAATTTTAGCGGTAAATTCTTGTCTTTATTTTTTTTCTTGGAGGATTGGTGGTGAAGGAAATTAGTTTTCAGAATAGCCTAAATGACACTTATACTTGTGCCACTTTGTCATGCCTGTCCCCAAACTTACCATTTTGCCAATTGAACACTTACACTCGTTCAAACCGTGTATAATAAACGCTTATGACAGGAGGCTGTTGTACGTGTAATACAATCTTCTACACGTAGGATGCCACGTCATTACTAGTGCCACATAGGAAAATAAACTATTGACTTTATCTTTATTTTTTTCCTTACTCCACTATCTCTTCCCCTTACTACCAACAACTCCACTGCCATCGCCAGAAAATTCCTCCGGTCACCGAAGAACACCATTAAAAATATTGTAGTGTTCATTCAATTCTAAGAGCCTTGTAGTGTTTTAATGAACTAACTTTGTTGCTGGTGACATATACGCACAAAAAAAAAAACAGGAAAAAAGAAAAAGCAAGATATATGTTTACAGTTGTTAGTCTCTTCAGGGGGAGGGGTGCTGATTGGGGGGGGGGGGGTAGGGGTAGGCAAGGGGAAGGGGGAAATGGGAGATAGGTTTTGGGGAAGAATGGAAGGGGGTGCTGGTTGGGGAGAGGGGGAGGGGGCAGGCGACGGGAAGGGGGAAATAGGAG